CTGTTGTCGCGGAATGTTTAAGGAATTTATCTTCGATGACAAGAGTGAGGACCACATAATGGATGGCATATTATATGAGGAATCGCTTGCATTTCGTCTATCACTCAACTTATCATTGGCTTCTCCTTTCATGAGAAGCCTATCGTCCGCAACAATCACTTCCTCATCCTTTGCTAATCCATTGGATTTGCGATCAAAGCACTGGTCATCGCTTTTGTCCAACTCCTGAGCCGCGCTTTTCTCTAACTTTTCTCCACTCAAATGAACGCCAATTCCTTTCATAGTCTTCCTATACTTCGCGCGTCTATTCTTAAACCACACCTGAATCCTAGCTTCCGGTAAATGAGTCAATAGGGCTAACCGTTCGCGGGTGGACACGTCCGGGTATTGGGTTCGGCTAAACGTGGACTCGAGTGCCGCCAACTGGTTGTGCGTGAAAGCTGTGCGACTCCGACGCTGTTTGCGAGAGTCCGATGTGTTGACCACCGATGCGCTCATTATATTCAGCGTGAGATCTGCTGATAGGAAAAAGGTATTCGTTATATAATAGCAAAACAAACACACCATTAGACTATCATATATTTACAAACCATTTAATGTGCTCAAAGGATTTTCGTATGGATTAATCCACTGGTGGTTATTCATACCGACGCCCATATAGTTCTGGTACGGGAATAGCGCCGCATTCCTATCGAGTTGTGAGACGGATCCAAATCTTAAGAGATTACTGGTATTGTAATACGGATTCATTTGAGATGTGTTCGTATATGTCTGTGTCGATGACAGTAACGGTTGGCTCCCAATGGTGTGACTGACGGATAGGTCCGGCGGTGGGCCCTATATATAGTGATATTAACGCATGAATTAAACGGAAATTAAATGCAAATTCAATACAAGATAAATACACTCACGTGTTGTAGGGGTTGAAGATTGTGGTGATTGTGGTGATTGTGATGATTGTCGTACATGACTGTCGGCGCACTATTAAAGCAATTAAAGCAAAAATGATATGCAATTACGAAACAAACACTTGTGTCACAAGTTTTGCTTTTTCCACACTTCTTGTGATGTATTGAATGAGTTGTGAGTGAGAGGAGAGTCGGCACAGGAATACAGGAATGAATGAAGGATTGCTTCCACGAGAAGTATATCTCTATCTCTCATTCGATTTCACTGTTTTTAGTCGTTTTATTCGGCTTTCAATGGCTAAACACATATAGAGAGAATGGTTGCGAGAGAGAGAGAGAGAGAGAGAGTGGTTGCGAGAGAGAGAGAGAGAGAGAGAGAGAGAGAGCAGCGTTGATGTCTTCAAATGCTAACTGAGTTGAACTCAAAAAGCATTTTAGATTTGTTGGTATAAATCCTATTATCTTGTGAGTAAGGATTGTCAGCAAATGTATGCGTATTGTTAATGCTATTCATGGGCTATTTACACGGCATACACAGTAGCACAGACACAGGCTATACGGCTATGGATGTGCCTATAAGTGTTGGATGTATAGCATCTCAGGCTCTCAACTAAAGCATGCATTTAGAAAATAGTGAGAAAGAAAGCCTCTTATGGCTCTTATGGACCCGTTTTTGTTTGTTCATTAAACAAATCGCTTTCCCCACTGTTATCACAGCCCTATCATAGCGTTCATAGCATTTGGAGAGTTGTTTGCATTTTAGCAAAACTCACAAAATCCTTAATCCGCAAATGAGCGCATTTAATGCACTCAACACTTGAACGGATTT